TACTTATTTACATAAGTCAAGTTAAGATCTCATGCATCATCGGGTATTCAAGGACCTGACTTAAAGCCTAAAAAAAAAAATTTAATTTTTTTTTTCAATTAACTTCAAAGCATACACAAGACACACTATTTATTGAAAAAAAAAAAATAATCCTCCCTAAGCCTCTCCCCCACACTTAAAGCTTACATTGTCCCCAATGTAAAATCCAATTGTAAAGAAGAGTTATTATTCAATGTAAAAATAAAATAAAAAAATTAAGTAAATACTCCCCTTGGGTTGCTCCCAAACAGCGCCTGTGTTTAACGTCGTTAGCCCAACTCTGAAGCTCACCTTAATCTGCATAAACGGGAACACCCAGTCGCACTTCTTCTGTCGTATGTTCTTGAAAGCCTTCATAAAATGGCTTAAGCCTATGCCGATTGACCTTGAACACCTTATTAGTTCCTAAACTTCGCACTTCAACTGCACCATAAGGAAAAACATTAGTAACTTCAAAGGGTCCAATCCAACGAGAATGTAACTTACTAGGCATTAATTTAAGTCTTAAATTATAAAGTAAGATTTTCCTTCCAACCACAAAGTGCTTTCTAACAATCATCTTGTCATGAATTGCCTTGGTCTTGTCCTTGTAAATTCTTGAGTTCTCATAGGCTTCAAGTCATATCTCCTCCAACTCTTGCAACTGCAATTTTCTTTGCTCACCAACTTTTCCAAGGTCCATGTTGCAACTCTTCACTGCCCAATAAGCCTTGTCTCCAACTCTATAGGAAGGTGACATGACTAACCAAAAACCAATCGATAGGGGGACATCCCAATAAGTGTTTTGTATACTATCCTGTAAGCCCATAATGCATCATCAAGTCTAAGGCTCCAATCTTTTCTGTTCGGCTTCACAGTCTTCTCCAAGATGGATTTGACTTCCCTATTAGATACTTTAGCTTGTCCATTTGTCTGGGGGTGATAAGAAGTAGAAGTTTTATGGAAAACATCATACTTTTTCATCAAAGCATCTACTATTCAATTGCAAAAATGAGTCCCTTGATCACTAATCATTGCTCGTGGAATTCCAAGACTACTAAAAATGTTAGACCTGATAAAACCTACAACAGCTTTGGAATTGTCAGTTTTGGTGGCTTTAGCTTCCACCCATTTTGAAACATAATCAACTACAAGCAATATATAAACAAAACCAAAAGATGAAGGAAACGGACCTATAAAATCAATACCCCACACATCAAAGATTTCACAGACAAATATAGGGGTTTGTACCACCTCATTCCTACAGGTCAAACTACCAGTCCTTTGACATTGTTCACAAGTTTTGCAAAATACATAAGCATCATGAAATAATGTAGGCCAATAAAATCAACTATCTAACACTTTCCTAGCTATTCTCTTAGGTCCAAATTGGCCTCCACAAACATAAGTATGACAAAACATAAGAACATACTGAATTTCAGAATTAGGCACACATCTCTTAATAATCTGACCTGAACAATATCTCCATAAATACGAATCATCCCACACATAGTATTTAGCCTCACTTTTAAGTTTGTCCTTTTTAGCCCTAAGCAAATCATCAGGTAAGATCCTACCAACTAAATAATTTAATAAATCAACATACCAAGGAACCATACCTTTTAAAGCAAACAACTACTACAGTTCAGGCTTTTCTTCTCTTACCAATCGGCTCAAATGATTTGCAACAAAATTCTCAGCTCCTTTCTTGTCTTTGATCGCAAGATCGAATTCTTATAAGAGTAAAATCCATCTAATCAATCTCGGCTTTGACTCCTTCTTTGCTAAAAGATGTTTCAAAGCTACATGATCTGAGAATACAATCACCTTAGAGCCAAGCACATACAACCAAAATTTGTCTAATGCAAATACTATGGCTAAAAGCTCTTTTTCGATCGTAGAATAATTGCATCAAGCTAGATTCAATGTTTTGGATGCATAATGAATCACATGAGCTTGCTTGCCATGACATTGCCCTAAAACTGCTCCCAGTGCATAATTACTGTCATCATACATTATTTCAAATGGCAAAGTCCAATCAGGGGGTTGGATTATGGGGGTTGTGGTCAAGGCAAATTTCAGCTTGTCAAATGCATCCTTGCACTCTGAGCTGAACTCAAAGGACACCTCTTTGTGCAAAAGCCTAGACAACGGCAAAGTAATCTTCAAGAAATCCTTAATGAATATGTGATAAAAACCTACATGTCTAAGGAAAGAACGCACTTCTCGCACACTCGTGGGATATGGTAAGTTTACAACTAAATCAATCTTAACTTTGTCTACCTCAATACCCCTACATGAAATTACATGACCTAAGACAATGCCTTGCTCTACCATATGACACTTCTCAAAATTATAAACAAGGTTTGTCTCAATGCAACGTTCCAATACACGAGCTAAATTATCCAAGCAAACATCAAAAGAACCACCATATACCGTAAAATCATCTAAACACGTCAATGCAATTTTCTATTAAGTTAGAAAAAATACTTAACATACATCTTTGAAATGTTGCTGGTGCATAATAAAGTCCAAATGGCATTCTTCTAAATGCAAATGTCCCGAATGGGCATGTGAATGTGGTTTTCTCTTGGTCCTCAGGTGCAATAACAATCTGATTATAACCCGAATAACCATCAAGAAAACAATAATGAAACTTACCAACTAATCGCTCAAGCATCTGATCGATGAAAGGTAAAGGAAAATGATCTTTCATTGTCACTGTGTTCAGCTTGCGATAATCTATACACATACGCCATCCATTCTGAATCCTTGTTGGAACAAGCTCGTTATCTTGATTCCTAACCACCATAACTCCAGATTTCTTCGGCATAACTTGGATTGGACTCACCCATTTGCTATCTGATATAGGATAAATCACTCCTACATCCAACAACTTTAAAATCTCTTTCTTGACTACCTCCATCATCATAGGATTCAACCTCCGTTGAGCTTCTCGGCTTGGTTTTGAACCATCTTCCAACAAGATTCGATGCATACACATTGATGGACTTATGCCTTTAATGTCAGCTATATTCCAACCAATGGTTGTTTTGTGGTCCCGTAGCACTCTTAGCAACCTTTCTTCTTGTATTGAAGTCAGATTCTTCGCAATGATGACTAGTAATGTCTCCTTATCCCCTAAGTATGCATACTTCAGGTGGTTAGGAAGAGGCTTCAGCTTCAAAACTGGTGCCTGCACCATAGAAGGCAACAACTTTGAGTTAGATACTAGTAACTCAATTTTTAACAAATCATACCTTTTTGGAACTAAAGGTAGTGATTGCAATGCCATGATCATCTCCTCAACATTTGAATTCAGTTGCAATTTTGTATTAATGTCTCGTAATCCTTGGCTAAGCACCACTTCTAACTCGTCTTCATTTCTTATTTCAAAAACCTCTGACACAAACACATCAATAACATCAATAGAAAATGCAGATTGAATATCACTAGGGTACCTCATGGCCTCAAATATATTAAATTTGACAATTTCCCTATCGAACTCCATGGTAAGAGTACCGTCATGAACATTAATCATCGTCCCAACTGTTTTCATGATGGGTCTCCGAAGCAGAATTGGGCGGGGTTTGGAAAACCATTGTCCTTCATATTCAGAATGTAGAAATCAGCAGGAAATATTAGTTCATTAACCTGTACCAAAACATCTTCAACTACCCCCTCAAGGTATGCGTTAGAACGGTCAGCGAACTAAATTATTACACCTATTTCTTTCAAAGGACCAAAATTCAAAGATACATAAATTGAATATGGCATGACATTTATAGATGCACCTAAATGTAACATGGCATGTTCAAATTTAGTATAACCAATGACACATGGGATTGTAAACGTACCTAGATCCTTACATTTTTTGGGTAACTTACGCTAAATTACTGCTAACACGTTCTCCCCCACACTGATTTTCTCATCATTTCTCAACTTTCTCTTTGTAGTGCACAACTGTTTGAGAAACTTTGCATATCTTGGAACTTGCTTCATGGCATAAAGAAGGGGAATATTCACCTCTACCTTCCATAAAGTCTCCAAGATCTCTTTCTCTTATTCGTCTTTCTTAGACTTGGACAATCTACTCGAAAAAAGGGATGGGAGTAGATTTGGTTGAATTATGCACTACTATTAGAGGGGTCACCTTGGACGAATTCTCAGCTTCACTTTTTACCTCCTCGTCTACTTGAGTCTCTTTGGCCGAAACTAGAGGATTTTGGATAGGGGCGTCGATCTCTTTCCCACTCCATAACATAATGGCACTCGCATTTTCATGAGGATTCACAACTATTTAGGAAGGTAGTTTCCCATAACCTTGTGCCTCAAGCTTGTTCACTGATGTTGCTAACTGACTAATCTGCTTCTCAAAATTTTGAATGTTGTTTCTCGTCTCATGCTGAAACTACTATGTATTGTTACCCAGTGCCTTAACAATCTCATCAAGTGATAGATTTGGGGACTGATTTGCTTGTTGTCTTGTCTAGAATGGGGGTTGATAGCAATTTTGAGTAGGTTGGTTCCCGTAGCTCAAATTCGGATGATCTCTCCAGCCCAGGTTGTAGGAATGGATCATATTTTCACTAAGGCTGCCCTGGAAAACCACCAATCATGTTGGCTTATTGGATTGGCTCTTCTTCTTGCAAACTTGGACACATATCTGTAGCATGACCAGCAATCGAACAAATTCCACACACCTTAGCAGCTTGCATGTTATTTACTACCATTTACCTCATCAAAGAAGTTAAATCTGAAAGTTGACATTCATGCTAGAAGTATGAACTTCGTTAACTTTCTTTGGTGTATGATCCATCCTTATCCCAAATTGTTGAGAATTGACTGCCATGTTGGAAATCAAATTCTTAGTAGCTTTTGGTGTTTTGTCAACCAATGCACCTCCACTAGTAGCATCCATCGTACTCCTAGCCATTGGTAATATGCCTTCATAAAAATACTAGATTAGGAGGTGATCAGGTATTTGATGGTGTGGACAGCTTACACACAATTTCTTGAAGCGCTCCCGATACTCATACAAGGTCTCTTCATTATATTGTCAAATGTCTCAGATTTCCTTCCTGATATTGGCAGCTTGTGAAGCAAGAAAAAATTTCTTTAAAAACAACCATTTCATCTCATTCCAGGAGTTAATGGAGCCTAACAAAAGATAATACAACCAGTTCTTAGCCAAATCTGCCAAGGAGAAAGGAAAAGCCCATAACTTCACTTGCTCATCTAAGATACCTTGTGGCCTCATACTTGAACACACCACATGCAATTCCTTTAAATACTTATGAGGATCCTCAACTGTAAAACCACGGAAGGTAGGCAACAAATGTATTAGTCCTGACTTTAACTCAAATGTAGCTTCTAAGTTAGGGTACTCAATACACAAAGGTTTTTTATTCAAATTAGGGGCAGCTAACTCCTTTAATGTTCTGTTATTATTTTCCATGACTCCCTCTTCTTCTGTGTCACTAAACAAACTGTTAGATGCTAAATCAAGGGCTACGTTAATGCCAGGCGATGAAACAATAACTTGCTCTCGATTTTGCCAAGCCTCTTTCCTCAACCTACGTGCAATTCGTTCAATCTCTAGATCGAATGTTAAGTCACCAAGATGAGATGACTTGGTCATAAAATAAAAAATCACATAAAAAAATGACAAATAATGAAAATTGACTAGAAAATCTTTAAAAAAAAAAAAAATTATGGCCAAAAACACAAAAATGGCCGAAAACCCTATCAAAAGTTGTTTTTTGGCATCGAGAGGGTGGGGCTAGTGAATCCTTAATGTGAATTCGCAACGCTCCTAATTCCACCGAAAATCCTGTCGTGAATAGTACTACCAAAAAAATTTTTTGATATCCTGCAAATCACAATTCTTCACAATCAAAGGTAAGAATGACAATAATTACACTAACTACTTTTATAAATCAGTAAACAAAACAATAAAAATAATAAGAACACCGAATCTGATTACAACTAGTCCCCGGCAACGGCACCAAAAAACACTTCTTTCTCTCTCTTCAAACCTGCCCTTAATTTGTGCAAGTGAATTCCAGCTCATACACACGAAATTCCAGCCCTCCAGACTTGTATTGAACTCCCTGTTGAAGTTGGACCAAGTCTTTATACGAACCATACAAAAATAATCCAAATCAGCTAAGGATTAAAGCTTCTAGGCTGAAGCCATAACTTCCAAGCCAATTTTGGATAGGACAACGAGCTTTCTAGACTTTAGCCCCTTCATAAGAATTATAGTTCAGGATGTGTACTTCAATTTGGGCCTTTTAATCGTCTCATTTGATTTGGAAACTCAAGTTATGTGATCCAATTCCAACCAATTTTAACAACAAAACAAAACACAACATGCCATAAACCCAAGTTAAAATTCGGCCAAATGCAATACAAGAACAATGTCATACTTACTTGCAATTTCGGACCAAGACAAGTAGAAACACTTCAAGCATGAAGGATTGCTCCACCAACTTGAATTGATTCACCACCAAATCCCCTTGCCAAGACTTGGATAAAGAATGCACAACAAAGAGCACAAAGTTCTCTCAAATGGATAAACCAATTTTCAATATTTCATAAGCTAAATATTACAAGAAGAATAGTTGCCCTTATATAGGCAATTACAAGGTTAAATAAGTAATTGAAAAATACAATTAGAAGAAATAAAATCAACAAATATTACAAGTCATTCATTCAAAAAGCAAGGTCATGCCTATTTAATGCAAAAGAGACATGGTTCCCTAATTCTAGGATCTATGTCTTTAACCACCCTATTAGTTGAAATAAACTCACTTTATTATATCAAAACTTGATCAATGATCCTAATCAAGTCTATTAATAAGGGTGTAAGAGTTTGGGCCTTGAGGATCGTGCAAATTGATCCAATAAAGGTTAATGTGGATCTTCCCCTTTGGAATGAAACTTGGGCCAGATTGGACCACTTCAACACTTGGGCTTCTTTCTTGGTGGGCTTGAGCTTCCTTTGTTGGGCTTGGACTTGGAATGGTTTGGGCCGAAATGCTTGGGCTCTCTCCCTCCTTGGAACTTGCTTGGGCCGAATTTCCTCCATTGCTTTCCACATTCCACAATCCAAGTGTTTTAGGACTTGGAATGAAACTCTTTAATTCAACCGAATTAGCAAGTGTTTTAGGACTTGTAATTCCTTGTCCACTCATGTTAACAAGTGTTTTAGGACTTGTAAACATAACATTATGCCCTTTTAAAGCTCCAGTGGTTGGACAAAAATCCTACTCCAATTAGGATTCGATTTCAGTTTTCAGCTCTGACTTTGCACCAACAATGGGAGGCCCAAACGAAGTCGTCTCTAGACATTCCATCCCAACTTGGAAAGCTTAAGATGCCTACTTTAACTTCATAGATGGTTCGAAAACCGAACTATAACTCAAGTCCATCAAAAATCTGCAAAGAGCCCAAAACATCCAAAAGTAAAAATGCTGGAAACTTCTAATTTTAAGTATATTTTACTAACTCTTAACCACAAATGCCATATACATAAAGATCATCAAAAATAGGCACCATAAGATATTAAACATGCCAAATAAAGTAAATGCAAGGATAATAAAATATAAAAATAAGTCTATCAATAGTGAGCATTATTTTCTTAGGAGCATTCAAAGAAATGAGGTTCATAGAGCGAGACCTGAGGGCATGTCCGTTGCTACTATACGAATTTACCAGAGATAGTTTAGTCCCCAAGGGAACAATCGAGTTGCCCATGACTATTGGGCAAGAGCCTCAAATAAAGATGATGATGGCAGAGTTTCTAGTGGTCGACTGCCTGACCACTTATAATGTCATTATAGGGAGGCCGATCCTAGATGATCTAAGCGCAATCACCTCAGTGTGCTACCAAGCAATGAGATTCCCAACTCTACGCGGGGTCACAATAATCAAGAGTTATGAGAAAGATTTTTGGTAATGTTACAATTGGGTCATCCATGCTACACAAAAATGGCTTCTCTCGAGAACCATGGTTATTAGATCCTCACGTCCACAAAGAAGCACCCACAGTAAAGACTACAGAAGAGTTGCGAGAAGTACCTGACAGCGAGAAAGACCCAACTCGCGTGCTAAAAATTGAGAGTAGTCTAAGTGACAAGCTGGAAAATTGTCTAAGTAGGGTTCCTAAAGAAAAACCTCAACGTGTTTGCTTGGGTATATGCAGACATGGTGGATGTGCCACAGATTGAACGTCAACTCAGGGGCTCAACCAATTAGACAAAAAGAAGCTCTATGGATGTTGAGCAGTCTAGAGTGCTTAAGGATGAGGTTGATAAGCTTCTGAACATCAATTTCATTCGAGAATTAAAGTACCTAGACTGGCTCACTAACCGGGTCTTGGTGAAGAAGTCGAATGGGAAGTGGTGGACTTGCATCAACTTCACTGATCTAAACAAGGAATGTCCTAAAGACAACTTTTCGCTACCCTGGATCAATCAACTAGTAAATGTGATAGTTGGGAATGCACTACTAAGCTTCATGGATGCTTACTCAGGATATAACAAAATCTCAATGTATCAGCTTGATGAAAAGCACACCTCATTTATTACTAATCGGGGTATTTATTATTACAAGGTTATGCCATTCGGCTTGAAGAATGTTGGAGCAACCTATTAGCATTTTGTGAATCAAATGTTTACTAAGCAAATTGGCAAAACTATGGAGGTGTACATTGACGACATGCTCGTCAAGTCAAAGGTCATCGAAAGCCACATCGAGCACCTAGGGGAGATGTTCGATACCCTCAAAAAATATCGAATGAGATTAAACCCTCTGAAGTGTGCTTTTGAAGTAAGCTCGAGGAAGTTTTTGGGCTTCCTAGTAAATCAGCGAGGTGTTGAGGCCAACCTAGACAAGATTCAAGCTCTCCTAAACATGAAGAGCCTGACTAATATAAAGCAGGTTCAGAGTTTGACAGGTGAGTGGCCGCACTGAGTAGATTTGTTTCCCGAGCTAGGGACAAGTGTTTGCCATTCTTTAAAACCTTGAAGGGCAACAAGGGTTTCAAGTGGACAAAAAAGTGCAAGAAAGCATTCCAAGAATTAAGGAGGCATTTGGGGCAGCCTCATTTGCTGTCAAAGCCCATCTTAGGCGAGCTCCTACTATTATATTTATCAGTATCTAAGTCCCCAATCAGCGCAGTTTTGGTACACGAAGAAGGGGGAGTGTAGTGGCCGGTTTATTATGTGAGCAGGTGGTTTCTCGATGCTAAGACAAGGTATCCAGAAATGGAAAAGCTCGCCTATGCACTCATCATAGCAGCTTGAAAGTTGCGGCTCTAGTTTCAGGCACACTCCATACATGTCCTAACAAACTTCTCACTGAAAAAGATAATACAAAAGCCTAAGGCATTGGGTAGGTTAATTCAGTGGACTATGGAGATGAGTCAGCATGACATCAAGTATATCCCGAGAACTGCGATCAAGGGACAGGCTTTGGTTGATTTCATCTATGAATTTTCATATCAACCTGAGGAAGAGATAAGCTCGCCAAAAGCAAGCACCTCGACAGAAAACAAGCCAACAAGGCCAAAGCTTAATAGTTTATGGCAGTGGACCTTGTACGTAGATGAGTCCTTGAATGAGAAAGGGGTAGGAGTTGGGCTCTTGCTCAAGAGTCCTGAAGGGAATCCAATCTGAGATGTAGTTAGATTTAGGTTCGCCGCCTCAAAAAATGAGATAGAGTATGAAGGCATGCTCACAGGGATCCGCCTTGCCAAAAAAATAGGGGTAGAGTCAATCAAAATTTACAGTGACTCTCAACTCTTGGTCCAGCAAATTTCAGGAGAATATCAGGCAAAAGAGGAAAAAATGACATCCTATATCCGGAAGGTAAAATCCGACCTCAAGCAATTTAAAACTTATGCAGTTTTGTAGATTTCCTGGGAAAAGAATTCAGTGGCCGATGCTCTAGTTCACCTGGCTTCAGCAATGAGCAAAGAAGTAACTGATTCCATTCCTATTAAATTCCTCCTAAGTTCAAGCATCCTCGCATCGTAAGAGTTAATTTTAGTGACAGGGCAAAGGTACAACTAGATAGATGCAA